CTCACTCCACTCACTCCACTCACTCCACTCACTCCACTCACTCCACTCACTCCACACACTCCACTCACTCCACTCACTCCACTCACTCCACTCACTCCACTCACTCCACTCACTCCACTCACTCCACTCACTCCACTCACTCCACTCACTCCACTCACTGCGCTCACTCCACTCACTCCACTCACTCCACTCACTCCACTCACTCCACTCGCTCCACTCACTCCACTCACTCCACTCACTCCACTCACTCCACTCACTCCACTCACTCCACTCACTCCACTCACTCCACCCACTCCACTCACTCCACTCACTCCACTCCACTCCACTCCACTCCACTCCACTCCACTCCACTCCACTCCACTCCACTACACTCCACTCCACTACACTCCACTCCACTCCACTCCACTCCACTCCACTCCACTCCACTCCACTCCACTCCACTCCACTCCACTCCACTCCACTCCACTCCACTCCACTCCACTCCACTCCACTCCACTCCACTCCACTCCACTCCACTCCACTCCACGCCACTCCACTCCACTCCACTCCACTCCACTCCACTCCACTCCACTCCACTCCACACCACTCCACTCCACTCCACTCCACTCCACTCCACTCCACTCACTCCACTCACTCCACTCACGCCACTCACTCCGCTCCACCACACTCACCCCTCTCACCCCACACACCCCACGCACTCCACTCACCCCACGCAATCCACTCACTCGACGCAATCCACTCCCTCCACTCACTCCACTCACTCCACCCACTCACTCCACTCACTCCACTCCACTCACTCCACTCACTCCACTCACTCCAGTCACTCCACTCACCCCACTCACTCCACTCACCCCACTCACTCCACACACTGACTCACTGACTCACTGACTCACTCACTCACTCACTCACTCACTCACTCACCCACCCACCCACCCACCCACTCACTCCACTCACTCCACTCCACTCCACTCCACTCCACTCACTCCACTCACTCCACTCACTCCACTCACTCTCCACTCACTCCACTCACCCCACTCACTCCACTCACTCCACTCACTCCACTCACTCCACTCACTCCACTCACGCCACTCACGCCACTCACGCCACTCACGCCACTCACTCCACTTACTCCACTCACTCCACTCACTCCACTCACTCCCTCCACTCACTCCACTCACTCACTCCACTCACTCCACTCACTTCACTCACTCCACTCACTCCACTCACTCCACTCACTCCAGTCACTCCACTTACCTTCACTGACTCCACTCACCCCACACACTGACTCACTGACTCACTCATTCACTCACTCACTCACTCACCCACCCACTCACTCACTCACTCACTCACTCACTCACTCACTCACTCACTCACTCACTCACTCACTCACTCACTCACTCACTCTCTCACTCATTCACCCACTCACTCCACTCCACTCCACTCCACTCCACTCCGCGCCACGCCACGCCACGCCACGCCACGCCACGCCACGCCACGCCACGCCACGCCACTCCACTCCACACTCACTCACTCACTCACTCACTCACTCACTCACTCACTCACTCACTCCCTCCCTCCCTCCCTCACTCACTCACTCACTCACTCACTCACTCACTCACTCACTCACTCCCGCACTCTGTCAGTCATGCACTCTGGGGTTTTCCGGTCCCTTAATTTCGTTTGATTTCGTTTGATTCATTTGGTTGTATTTACGTTTTCGGATTATGCATTTTCGGCCTTCGTAGGATTCCGTTGGGTTTTCTGTTGGCTGATTGTTCAGCTTCCGCTTGGCTCTCTTTGGGTTTTTGTTGGTTTCATGTTGGCTCTCTTCTTTTCGGCTTGCTTTTGATTCCTTCCTCTTGAGTTTCCATTTTACGTCCTTTTTGGGCTTTCTTTCGGTTTCTGCTTACTCTCCTGTTGGTTTGTCTTTTGGCTTCTTTATAATTTGTCCTTCGGCTTTCTGTTTGTTTCCTTTAGGTGGTCCTTTTGTTTGTGTGTTGTTTGTCTTTGGTTGTTGCGTCCTTTTGGTTTTCTGTAGGCCTTTTATGCTGACCTTATTGAGTTGTTGTTCTGTTGTTTTTGTTTCAGCTTGTCTTTGCTTGCGGGCGCTTCACATTTCCTGTTCTTTGACGTTTTCCCATGCCTGCCCAAACATCTGATAAGCACGCGCACCAGCACTGCATCCACTCAAGCCAACTGACGAGCACAGCTGCTCAAGCGCACCCGTTCAGCACTGTAACGTCTGCCGAACGATAAGCACCCTTTCAAACGCACCCAGTCAGCGCTGTATCCATACCTGCGAAGTGATAAGTGCGTCCGTTCCACACGTCATCTACTGCCCCCACGCCTTCTTTACAAACACGAAAGGGCGCCAATAGATCCATTTTCCTTTCCTGCTGGCAATGGCAATGGCGAGTCGGAATGGCGAGCGCACAACGCGCATCGCAACTTGCGGCCAAAGCTGGACGCTTGCAAGCAGTTCCAGCCTATGGCGGCGTCGAAGCACACACATCGCATTTTCCCTTTGGCTTCCTTTCGTCTTCCTTTTGGTGTTCCTTTGATCTTCTTGTGTCTTTCCCTTTTCAGTGGCCGTTTGGTTGTTTGTTTCCTCGTCCTTTTGGTTGCTTGTCCATCTGCTTCTAATTCGCTATATTACTGAATTTCCCTGCGTTTTTTCTTTGGCATGCTTTTGATTTCCCGGTGGCTTGCTATGGGTTGCCAATGTTGGTTGTTGCATCATGGCAACACAGTTCGTCGACCTGTTGTTTTCGGATCCTTTGATTGACTGAGGTCATGGGCCGATTCTCAAAGCTGTATCCCAGGACAGACGGATGCTTGGTCCGCAAGCGCAGCGCCGATTTGGCGGGAAATCGAGTTTTGACCCTGGCTCATGCGCAGTGGATGAGCTGGGCTGTGAGGATGTAGCGCAACTGCACAGCCAGCCCCCATTGCGCTTCTGGAGGATTCCTGTTCTTGGTTGCGCTCTGAACTGTTGACAAATGTCTGTTTCTCCGTTTGGATTTGCTGAATCGCTCGTGTGTCGCGCAAAGGTGACACAGTCGCGGGGAATGGCCCACACTCCGGTGACACTGGAAACGGGTTTCTGACAGAAGCGGGGGGCATCCATCAACACTTCCTTTGGGCAAGCGATCAACTTCCGATCCGACACAATTGGTGACCTCGGTTTCGGTCTTCGCACGGTTGGCCAGACAAAAGACACGTTTCAGGGTTTACCAGTTTCTGTAGATTGCACTAAACAAACACAGTTGCAGTGTCGCAGTTCCAGCGAATGAGGCAGAAGGGATCTGTATCACCCTTGGTTGGCTAACACAGGTGCAACTTTGTGGCTCATTCAGTTGCTGACAAAATCAGACTCCAAGTCCCTTCCGGCGGAGCAGCAGGTTATGGAGGGGCATGGGACATGAAGTTTCAATCAAAAGCCAGAAGACTCACCAAGTGTTCCGTCCTGGAGAGCCCTTCAAGGTTGGTGGGGTTTAGGAAAACCCGCGGAGTTGCCCTGAGATAAGGTTTACGAGGGTTCAACCAGGGTTCCACAAGGTTCTGCGGGGGTTGCGGGGTGGAAGAGTTCCACAAGTGTTCCACAAAGGTTCCACAACGTCCATAAGTCCGGGTTCCACGAGAGGGTTACGGGGCGGTCCTGGGTGGCACAGCGTTCCACAACAGGTTCAACACGCGCGTTTGACAAGGGAAGGGTTCCACAAGGCTGCGGTGAGGTTCCACAAGCCTCCAGGTTCCCACACACATGTTCTACAAGGGTTTTACAAGGGTCGTGGAGTGAAGCAATGCGCCATAAATTGCGGGCTTTTTCTACAAAGGTGGAAATCAATGCTTTCACTGTATAGACTTGGTCACGGGCTCAGACAACGTGGCCTGAAAGGATTTGGCTTTGTGGCGTTGCTGCGGGACTCAGTGCGCAGCAGAGTAAATGCTTGGCACTACTTCGTATTACTTGGTGGGCCTCCACAAGGTTCCACAAGCTCCACAAAGGTCCACGAGTAAGAGTTTCACGAGGTTTCCACCATGAGGTTTCACAAGAGTTTCACATTGGGTTGCGCGCGCAGCAGCATCGTCAGGCCCCGATTTGGGCCGGCCGCGTCCTCAGCAAAACCGATGCATCGCCCCGATCAGCCCCCTTGATCGCGCCCCGCCCCGTGCGCTGTCGGGCGCGATCAGGGCGCGATTGCATTGGCACGCCTAGCTTTACTTGGTGGCTTGGATTGGCGGTTTGCGCTTGCAACAACGGGCCCGGTCGGGGCCAATTTTCACTGCCGGGGCCTGACTGCATCATCAGGGCCCGATTGCATGCACCGTCGGGCCTCGGTCAGCCTGTACACATGCAGTTATAAGGATTGCGCCTCGGGGCCCGATTGCACCGTCCGTCGGCTGTACCAAGCTGGCATCGCCCAGCTTTGCTTTATACAGTAAACTTGGATGAGCAGCCTACTTGCTAGTAGTTGGCGAACTTAGGCGATTTGCAAAGCCACTTGCAAGTTGTCTAGCCGGACTGAGGTAGTAAGTCCGCTAAGTCTGACTTATGGCGGACTTACAGCCTGGCTATATCCACTTTGCGAGTTAAGACTTAGCTGACCATGTCGGCTCTCCAAGCAAGCGTCTGCAGCAAATGTTTGCATGTGCTTGGAGGCTCTTTGAGCAGGGCTACCGAAAAAGTTCTAGAACGCGTGAGATGGCGTAAAGTCCTAAAGCTTTGCGACACTGGCTAAAAGGCGTGCACACGTGCCTGGCTGACACCTTGGAAGCCGTGAACACCGTGAAAACGGTTTGACCCAGTTTTACTGGATTTTTGTGAGTTGGCCAAGTTACACAAGGCTTGGGCAATCCCAGCGACCCATTTCTTGCCGGTGCAGAAACATACCCAAAGTTCCAGCGCGCGCAGCATCGCCAAATCATGTTTCGCAGCACTCCCCCTAATACTACCAACGTCGCATTTGCCCGCGCCAAGTGCGCTATAGCTTGCCCAACCTGCCCATTGCGCGAGGGATTTCCAGGGGGTCCCATTTCACTTTTTTTCACGTTTTTACTTTGTCATTCATTCACGAGTAAACTCGGCCATTCACGATTATTTTACGGGTATTTCACATAGTTGCACACAATTCTGCAAACACAACAAGTGTCACTACTACATTGGGCAAGACCATCTTTCTCGAATTAATGCTCTGCACTGTCGAAAAGACGCCAATGCTGAGCTAGGCGTTAATCCCATACCCAAACTAGGCGTTGCAGACAAATATGTACAAATGCACCCATCCAACTTAGTAAGCGAAGGTTGCTTGAAACATGCAATTCAATGTCACATGCCAACTGATTGCCCAATTGTTTGTCAAGGTTTCTTGCCAACGAACACCAAACTTGAGTGTTGCATCATATGATCCTTGCTCGAAGCGCTTGAGCCAAGATCCTTGTAAAAGTGAAACTGGTCAACATTGAGTAGAACTTCATCATACCTTTTGACCCAGTTAATCTTGGTCAAGGAAGGCCAGGGATTGGTGGGCTTGGGACCCGCTTGCACCATCGCCGGGGCCCAACTGCACTGTCGTTACACCTGGCTCCGATTGCGCCGTCGGGCAGGCTGTGTCAAGCTGGCGTCGCCCAACTTTGCTCTATAGCGCTATCAGGCCCCGACCAAGGCACGGTGCAGCGGGCTTTGATCCGGGCCCGGGTCAAGACCGGACCAGAGAGATGCAAGCAGGCTTTGGCCAGGGCCTAGCCACCTATCATAGCGCACCGCCGGTTTTGCTCAGATGCCGCTTGAGGCTCCACAGTCAATCAGGACCCAACCAGGGCCGTAGCGGGCCCACTCCAGCCACCCATAGCTGACTGCCCGGTTTTGCATAGGATGCTTTTTTGCTGTGTAAAGCAAAGCTGGGCGACACCAGCTTCGCACGGGTTTCGTCAACGGCGCAGTCGGGCGCCGACGGTGCAATCGGCCCCCGATCGGCGCCCGACGGTGCAATTGGGTGCAAACCAAATCCAAGTCACCTCAAGTGCAATCGGGCCCCGATCAGGGCTCGACGGTGCAATTGGGCCCGACTGGGGCCGGGTGCGGCTACCTCAAACCAAGCGTTTCAACCCCCTATGTTTTGCCGTTTTAATTCACGACAACTGGTTGGTGAGGTTTGGGCTGTTTTTCCCCAAAAGCTGAAAGCGATGGGGTACTCTGCCCAGATAGGCTCCGAGGTGGTCTGGGGCGAGGGTGAGAATTCTGCGAGAGTTCTGCAGAAGCTCTGGGAAGGTGCCGTGGGTGGGTTCGGTTTATAGGGTGAGGGTTTCAGGAGAGTTCCGCGAAGGTTCTGGGAGGGTGTGGTGCTGTTGGGGGTATTGGAGAGGGCCAGGATTAATCAGAGAGGTTTTGTGTTTTTTTGGGAGGGCAGACTTGAAGGGGGGGTACCCTTTTTGTTTATGTTTTGGATGTTGGGCCGGAAAGGGACGTCTTTCAGAGGGGGTTATTCTGAAGGATGCCCCCCAAAGGTTTGATTGAGCTTAACAATGGGAAACCGCTTGGCTTTGTGCAGTCGCAAATTAAATCCCTCTTGGTTTTTTTCTTCTGGTTATGCCAGTGGTCGAAGTTAGACATGGAATGTTGTGTTTCAAATACCGGGTGAACCCGTTCTTGGGTGGTGGGGTTTGAAGGAAATCACAGTGTTGGCTCTGTCTCAAGCACCTTTCTTTGGGAATGAGCTTTGTATAAAAGAGTGGTTGCAAGCTTTGGCAATTCCGCTGAATTGTCAAGCTTCAATCTGTTTCAGACCAGTGTTCTGCTTCCCTCCGCTGTTTGACACCTTTCCATCAGCTTGTTGTGCTTTTCGTTTCGGTTTCTCTTCTCTTTTCAAATTTACCTCCGTCCAATTCTACCCACCAAGGAGTTGCTTGCCCATTGTTTTCATGTGTTCCTTCTTGCTTAGAGATCAGGCAAACGAGGGGTAAGTTGTAAGGTCCAATTCAGTACTCTGGTCACTGAGTCTCAGAGTCTCCCGTTTAAGCTGTAACGCCCCCCCTTCAGGCTCCTCAGACTCAGTTCCTGAGATGACTACACGACAAATTCTTTGTTTCCCCGAAGGGACATGGGACAAATGGGTCTACATTTGTTGTAGGCAAATCGTTCCGGAGCAACAAAAGACGACCAATGATTTGCATGCTAAACAACCCATAACTTTGGTTTTCCAGAAGCAGATCCTGTTTGGCACTCAAGCAGAGGAACTGCCGTGGTGCTCTGCAGCGATCTACTGGATCCCTACACGGTGCGGACATACAAAGTCGATGACTTTGAGCGAAGCACCCGCTGGTATTAAGTCTTAGTCGCGGTGGCAAGTGTCCGGCCTTGGAATGATCCTAGTTGAGCTAGCCATTCAGGCGGGCGACATCCCCACTTTCCTGGTGCATTGTACAAAGTTCGCTTGATCATGTCTTGTGACCTGGCCCCAGAAAGCCCAAGTCAGAATCCTTCATCGACGTCCTTCCGCAAAAAAAGGACGGCGCTGCAAGTTGGCCCATACAAAATTCATCTTGTTGTGCTTCCTTGCCAGACTTCCTTTTGCTGAAAATAATATTTTCTTTGAAGGGAATCGATTTCACTACTGAGAATTCATTTTTCCAGGGCGAAAAAGCAAATGGAGGTCAACCGCATAACCCTTGCTTCCAGGAAAGGGACTTGGCCAAGACTTTTGGCTGACTCCTCATACTCGAGACGCAAGATTCTGGACAATAACACTGTCAATTCATTGGTTTTGTGGCATACACATGGGGCTTCGTCGAGAGGCTTCGGGGGCACAACAGGGATCCCATATATCAAACAACCCACCAAACATTCCTCGAGTGACTCGAGTGTTGGGACTTTAATCACTAATGATATACACAACATATATATATATATGTATATATATATATACATATTGTTGAATTGATATAGATGTTGATCTAGTGGAAAACTAATTAGGTTTTCCCTGCGGCTTGAGAGTACAACCCGTTGAACATCCGCAAGCCGTGGCGGCTCAAGACCTTGGGCCCGAAGCTGCTTTTGCTGAGGCGGGGAATCGCTGAGGCTTTGGCCCGGTTCGATGGGCTCTTGGAACACGTGACGTGAGGTGATTCCCTTAGCTTCCGCTTGGATTGGCGGCTCCCAGTTTGGTTCCTTTGGTTTTTAGGTTTCGAGGTTGGCTGGTTTAGTCGGTTTAGTGAGGTGGTTCATTTAACCCACTTAGATTTACACTTTTCGCGGCAGCGCAGGGGGATTCCAATTTCAGGAGTTGCCAGCCTGCCGAAGGAATCGACCATGACACACACGTCAGGGAGTGTCGCGTTGCTATCAGGTAGCACTTGCTTCCAGTTGGGGAAGTTTGAGCATGTAAATGCTTCAACTCACGGAGCTCCTGGACTTTCGTCACTTTTTGGGAAGACCATTTTTGTGATAAGCAAAAAGTTCGGACATTTTGTGGCCATCCCCTCGATCGGAAGTGAGAAAGGGGGGGTTGAAGTGTTTCAGGCTATAGCCAAGTCCTTGGCGTCATTTGTAAAAGACTTACCGTGTATTTCCTGTCAAGAAGGCATCAGCGAAAAGGCCACCAAGTTTGTTTGTAGTCAGGTCCTGCTTTCCACTCTTGCTTTGGAGAAGCTCATGTAACGAACGCTTAGGGGTCTTGTGAATTTTGCAATGACCCATCCAAGGGACAACTGGGCTCCAGCAATGCACTTGTTTTGGGTGGTTCGGGCATATTGGCCATATTTCAATATCATATGTTATTTTAACGTCGGAGTTCCTACCGAAAAAACATATCTATATTATTTCAGATGTTTCCCATTGAAAGCAAGATTCGTCTTTCTCCAACTAAAGCAACACGCCGAGTCTGAATCCCCAGGTGGTTTGCGGTGCGCGCCGACGCTATGGGGTCGCCGCTCAGCCTTAGGGTTCTTGGTTTAGTTTGCCGGATTGCTTTGGAATCTAAAAAGGAAACCTGTTGCGTGCATAGGTGTCCTTTTTAGTTGTTTTGGTAGAAAAATAGATGGCGATTTCTGGTTTACCTGGTGGTTTAATCATCTACCAGGGCCATCTATTTCCCCTAAAAGGACACCTATGGTTGCTTGTGTTCAACCCCAACTTCTGTAATTGATTACTTGTGTCCCTTTGGATCCAGAAAACCGGATTTTCCTTGAGAACAGGGGCATACAGACGGTAGTTTAGGCTGCGTTGTGCGGACCCCGCGCATGGAACAAAAGGGTGAAACTGTTTGGTTGTTCAATTGATCGTGCCGTGTATGTTCAACTTGTTGTTTTCTCGTTGGTTTTCCCTTACGAGGGTTCCCCCCCAAAAAAGATGTGTCCCTACCACCGCAGTTGCTGAAAGCCAGCACCTGGTCCAAACCCGGATGCAACGCCTTGTGCTTTGCGAGGCACACGCTCAGCCTTGAATATATTCGGAAGGGTTGCGGTTGTAGATTGGGATGAGTCTTAGTTGACCCTTTAGCAGTTTTAGTGGCCATCATCTTGATTGCTATTGGGTTGGATATTCTCTTTGTTTGCTTAATTACTGTTTTCGTTTTTTGGGAGGGGGGAATTCATGGGTCTTCCATTCAACCCACAAAACGTTAAACTTTTCGCAGAGGGGTCACCATCAACCGAGTTATTTGCATGGTTGTTCTTAGAGCGTGCACCCATCACTGTTAAACCTTCCCACTGGGCTTCCGAAATCAGCCCGTGATGGTCGTTTGCCTTTCCGACGGATCAGGATCCTTGGCAAATACAGACTTTTGACTCCTAATGGGGAGAGTGGAGGCTCCCAGATATTTAAACAATTATGGAGTCTCCTCAACAACTATTGCATTTTGGGGGAAGGCTCAATAGAACAGAATCAGAGAGTATTAACAATCAAAAACCCATGTGGTTGAAGGCTAGGGCACAGTCCCAACTGTAGTTAGGTGTGGATATGCGCGCTGTTGATTATTCACGTAGCTTCGGGTAGACCCCTTCAACACCAGGTTGTGATTACGATTCAACGGGATGGCTGTCTTTTGTGTTTCTTTGGACACTTTAGTTAGCCCGCGTGTTGATTCTGACTCCGAGGTCCTGCTCATGCGATGTGGAAGGAACTAACCTCGAGGAGACTCCGTGGGATGGGAAAGGGTCAAAGAATCGAGCAAACTTGGAAATGTGTCCAGACTGACTGAGCTGGGCTTCCAAATGTTTGGTTTTTAGGGGTGGTGTCCTTTCCAGATCTCTGGGCATTTCATAACTGGGGTCTCTATTCCCAAAATATGAAGCCAATCAGGGGCAAGTTAAGAATACAGAGGTGTGGTGTTGCTTTAGAGAGCCAAGGGCCATCCACTGAATCTGTGCTCCATATGGGCCTTTCCAAGCCACAATTGTGTTGCTGCCACGAGAGTATTCAGTATGGAGTGTGGAATCTCCATATGCCTGACCCCAAACTTATCATATACATCACTTGGATAGACAGTGGATGCTTCAGTGAGTGTGTAACAGGGCAAGTCCTGTGTGGTTCGTCATCCTACATCAAAAGAAACACTTGTCAGGTAGCATCGAACAGGTTCGGCGGAGCTTGTGGATTCCTTGCTGTTTACTTCGGAAAGCAATATTGTCTCCCTACCTGGATCCCAGTGGCCAATTTATTTCCAGCTACTTTTGCATCAAGTTGTGGGCTAGTGGGTAAAGTGTCTGGAAAAAAATCGTGGCTACTTGGGGATCCAGGTAGGTGATTGATTGAGTGATTTTTTTCTCAAGAAAGCAAGGGCATGTGTTGTGATACTCCGATAACTAGACCGGCGCCCCTTGGCTTTTCCAGAGCGAGTGACGACTAGTTCGTTTGAGGCCTGGAACCCCCAGGACTGCAGGCATATTGGGTTTAGGGCGGGGGGGGGTATCTCTTGAGTAGCATTGTCCGTTCTAGTTTCATGTTGACTCCATCACTGATTTGCCCTGTTTGTCGCGCCCTCTGGAAGACGGAGCTTCTTTTGGGACGTTGGTGAGGTTCTGTGGGTTGCTTGAAAAGTGGTTCTGAGAGTTCACGTTGACCAGCAGATTCTGGACGATTCTTTCGGCCACAGAAGGAAACTCAGACGCCCCTCATGTGGAAAAGGGCCGGCAAGAGCAAAGTGGGGGCAACCACAATTGCCCTGAGCAAACTCACAGTTTCACCGCCAGGTCTCAGTTTGCAAGCATTGGTCTATTGTAACTTATGGTTCCCCCAGATGAGACGGTTTTTTCCAGGTCCTTTGGGAAGGTACGGGATTGCTTTCTTTAAACCTCACAAAACACGCAATTCTGCATTTGGTCAGGAGTGCCACATTGTGGATACCGTCAAGGCGCAAGTTCATGATGATGCGCTCTTTACCAAACCCCCCAAGATGGGTTTGGTGCACAGGGAGCGCTTTCTCGCTTCCAACCGGCTCTTGGAGTTTCGTTGCTATTTGGGAAACCGCATGCGACTTCTTTGTGGGCCAACCCATTTAAAGACAATATGTCCAGTCCAAAGTGGGAACTCGACAATCCAGCAGCACTCGGCTGTATTTGTTTTTTTTTGTGTATTTGGCCAGTTGAACTGATCGAGCCCGAACTCTCAGCGATCAATGCACCATGCACCTTCCGTGAGGCAAACTCAGGCAGGGCAAGCAAGGTGTTTGCCAGTTGCCGCAAGCCGTGTTCAGGGTCAATCGACCGGCAACAAGAGCGCAATCATTTTTTTCTGCACCAGTGGGCGAGGAAGTTGGTTCTTTGGGGATAGATGCTCCCCTCGCACAGTCTTCCTGCTCATGATTATTGGATCACGGGCCTTGCTAGCATAGGTACTGTCCCATTGGGGGGGTGATTTGCAATGCACGAATTGGCCTTTCTCCTGCTGAAAGGTTGATAACAAATAATATGAGGGTGTCTTTGTTTTAAGGTACCTTTGTTGGGTTTTTGTTTGAAGGGAAGCCAAAAGGAGAACCAAACACGGCCATTTTTTTTGAGAGGGGGGGGGACCAGGCTTCGAAAAGACTCAAGGCTTCACTCCTTGGGGTCGGGAGAGGACGGGTTTTTGATCTATGTGTCTTGAAGATTGGCGTGGGCGCTTTGAGTAGTGGGGTTCCTTTTGTTGGGCCACTCACAGAAGGGATCAAAGAAACTGAAAATTCATCAGTACAAGACTGATAATGTTCATCGGAGCGAAGTATGGAATGATGGGAAGGAAGGATGTGAGGGAAGGATGGGAAAGAAGGATGGGAAAGAAGGATGGGAAAGAAGGATGGGAAGGGAAGGGAAGGGAAGGGAAGGGAAGGGAAGGGAAGGGAAGGGAAGGGAAGGGAAGGGAAGGGAAGAGAAGGGAAGGGAAGGGAAGGGAAGGGAGGGGCAGGGGCAGGGGCAGGGGCAGGGGCAGGGGCAGGGGCAGGGGCAGGGGCAGGGGCAGGGGCAGGGGCAGGGGCAGGGGCAGGGGCAGGGAAGGGAAAGGGAAGGCAGGGGAAGGGAAGGGAGTCGAA